ATGCTTAGTCATCTTAATTTATTTCATGAGCTAACAATTGTCCAAAGATTAAGGTGGCCACGCCTCACTTATGTCACACTATCCCTTCTCTTCGGACGAGTATATATAAGGGAGTATTGTACTAAAATTTCCCCCATTTTTTTTCCCTTAAAGACTTTTGCAGCATATAGTACCTTCCTTCAGCAGCATATATCCTCTATAAAAATTAGCAACAAAAGCTCCATTTAATCCCTATTATCCTATACAATCGCACGGTAAGATAGAAGGCCTCACGCGGCGCACGCAAGGACGAGTAGCACGACTATTTTTCCGATTTCCGTCGAGCGATCGAAGAGGTAATTCTCTTCTCAGCTCATATTAATGTTGATAAAGTCATATTAAGGTTAAGTGTTCGATCGATTTTCTAGAATTTCAAATAAAACCGTGCCTAAGTCCGTATATGTGTAAGTAAGGTCATGACCGAGTTATTTTCAAATTCTTCCGGCAACTCTCGAACCATTAACGTTTAAATGTTCAGTTTAACTAAATTCATGTTCAATAAGATCAGCTTTGTCGAAGCAAAATGAGATTTTGTTGAGAAATTGGCCAAAGCCGTTGCCAGCGCCTATCGCGCGTAGCCACGGGCGGCCACGGTCCGAGTTTTAGTAAGTTCAGTATTGATCATGTTCAGCCGTGTGATTATGTTTTAAATTGCTTCATAGTTGTGTTCATATCATCATGTTCTGAAGTTGCCGGATAATAAGGTGTTGTGGCCGAGAGACGGCGTATAGCCGTCGGCGGCGCACGGCGCGCCCGCCACGGCCCATTCCATGTTCAGCGTGCAATAGTGTTATTTTCAGGTCATGATTAATAAGTACATTCAGGTTAAGTCATGTTAGGTTTAGCTATGTTCAGTTTGGTCGAGGACTTGGCCGAAGGCCGTAGGCCTCGTATGTAGCGAGCGCGCCACGGCCGGGTGCTAGTGCCGGTGAGTAAGTTCAGCCAATGTACTTGTAATTCAATATAATGTTCATGTTAAGTCATAAAAGGTTAAGTAATGTCAG